CAACTGTACTAATTCATAATAATCAGCACTTAAAATTCTAATGATCACATGTAAAATTTCTACAAGCAAATCCATGAAATCTCTGATAGTAAACAGAGCACATTGATGGCTAGAACAAATGACCATCAAGTAAATACAAAATCCTACCTAAATGTAAACAAAATTTATAAAAAAAAAAAAAAAAAAAAAAAAACTTTGTCCTGGGAAAGTATGGAAATTCTCTAGATCCCAGAAAAGTTCTGCTAGATAGAGCAGATAGGTGCTGGTATCCAATCAAAGAAAGCTTTATTTGCCTGCACTACAGTGGAAAAAATAATTCTGAAGCCCTTCGTCAAAATTAGCCATTCAAATCAAAACAGCTGCCTCATATCTTTAAGTCTAATTACACTGACACAGACTTTTTAGAAAAGCAAAAATAAACTACAAGATGAAACTATAAAAACAATTTGATATAAAATACCACAGTCAAGAGTAATAACGTATCACTTATTGATCAGGTCACCTAAATCTATGGGTTGTCAGGACCAAAATTTTTTTCTTATTAATACTGGAAATCAGTGGCTCATGCTTGTAATTCCAGTAATTTGGGAGGCCAAGGCAGGAGGGTCACTTGAAGCCAGGAGTTCAAGACCAACCTGGGCAACACAGCAAGACCCAGTATCAAAAACAGAAACAAAACAAACAAAAAGTGGCTTACTGGTTTCTGACTTAAAATGTTTAAGAAAGGTATCTGTGCTTATGGGAAACAGAAAACTCTCTCTGAATTAAAATACCACAGATACAAATATTTTCACTTTTTTGTTTAAAATCTAACTAAACTTGTAGGTACATGAGATAAATGAATAAAATCACCTCAGGTTTTCAAACAGAAGATTTTTGTAATCTTAAACAGCCATATCAACAATCAGAAGGTTATGACAGTAAAGAAATAAAATTAAACTTGCAAAAATGATTTTAAAATAAGTTAAGCTAAAAAGGAGAAAGGTGGTAAAAGATTACAACAGTAAAGAAATGAACTTGCAAGGTGGATCATGAGGTCAGGAGATCGAGACCATCCTGGCTAACACAGTGAAACCCCGTCTCTACTAAAAAATGCAAAGAACTAGCCGGGCGAGGTAGTGGGCGCCTGTAGTCCCAGCTACTTGGGAGGCTGAGGCAGGAGAATGGCGTGAACCCGGGAGGCAGAACTTGCAGTGAGCTGAGATCCGGTCACTGCACTCCAGCCTGGGCGACAGAGCGAGACTGTCTCAAAAAAAAAAAAAAAAGAAGTTAAGCTAAAAAGAAGAAAGATGGTAAGAATATATACATAAAAATAAGTTTCATCTGGAGTGAAACTGCAACTATTTCTCCTATTAGAAGATAATCTCTGATTTTTAGGTTCAAAAGATGCTTTTCAAATTTTATTTTATTTATTTTTATTTTGAGATGGAGTTTTGCTCTTGTTGCCCAGGCTGGAAGCAATGGCGTGGCCTCTGCTCACCGCAACCTCCGCCTCCTAGGTTCAAGCAGTTCTCCTGCCTCAGCCTCCCACTTTTCAAATTTTTTATGAAAAATAAGTAGTATTTCCATAAACAGCCTTACAAATAGTTACATTTATTAGATTAAAAGAGATTTTAACATTTATGTTCCAGGTGGTACAAAAACCAGAATAAATAGGTGGTTTAGAAACAAATTTATCACTCTCTTTAGGTTGAAGAAGTTTTTTTTTTTTTTTGGAGACAGAGTCTGCCTTTGTCACCCAGACTGGAATGCAGTGGCGCAATCTTGGCTCACTGCAAGCTCCGCCTCCCGGGTTCATGCCATTCTCCTTCCTCAGCCTCCAGAATAGCTGGGACTACAGGCGCTGGCCACCACGCCCAGCTAATGTTTTGTATTTTTATTAGAGACGGGGTTTCACCATGTTAGCCAGGATGGTCTCGATCTCCTGACCTCGTGACCTGCCCGCCTCGGCCCCACAAAGTGCTGCAATCACAGGCGTGAGCCACCGTGCCCAGTCAAGACTTAATTCAATGATCAAAGAAAGCACATTAATCATATAATTTTTTAAATTGTATAGCAAGTCTTGTCCTGTTTTACAGATGAGACCCATACAGGCTGAACAAAAAAGAATATGAAAAAGGAGAGGAGTACATAGTTAAATGGAAGTTACTGATAATGTTTTAGCTCTTGAGCTATGTTAACAAGTATTTATTAGATTAGCATGGACATGATGTGTCATGAATCAAAAACTGTGTATCTGAAATCAAAAACAGGATAAACAGTTTACAAGTAGTAACTCTGCAAGATTTAAAAGTGAGGGCAATTTCTGACATATATACGTCTCTCAGAGTAAATAGGAAATCGTTAACAACTATTTCTTGAGTGAAGTTTCAATATATTTTTAAAAATTCAGAGTAAACATCAAGATGGATTTCATTTTACATAACACAACAACTTGGTCACCCACTCATCCTAAAAATCTCTGTAAGTAAAACTGATTATAATGATATGTTAAGGCAGTGTATTTAAACCATGACCACTAGAATCACAATCATTATGAATCTCTTTTTCTAAGTGTCTTTTGCTGAGATTATATAAATATTTTAGCAATGCTTTTCAGTGCAGTACAGAGTAGACAACCAATAAATGTTGGTAGAATTAAATTCACCTTCACAAACAAGACATGCCTTCATATCAAGGCATTTAACAATATCTTATTTTTGGAATGATCTTATCTGATTTAAGCCTTATATTCATACCTTTTAATCATATTTCAATACATTCATATATATAATAGTTTTTTAACAGATTCATATCTTTGAGTACCTATAACTCTAAAAGGCCCCTTCACTAAACCTACCATTCCAACCCCAATTTTATTTAGAAAATACATCTTTTCTTCGTGGTGATTCTACAGTAACTTGAAATAATTTGAATATAAACTTATTCAGTTTTACTACTACATGCGTAATTTTCAGCTTAATTACATACTATACTAACCAAAGCTTAAAACAGGAAAATAAACTATTTTAAAATCTGTTTCATCTACAATGTTTTTACTCAAAATTTAATTCTAATCACTAGCATAAACCCAAGCATTACTCTCCAGGGGTGTACACTGCTAAATAATTTGTCCAAATGTCAACTGCAATTTTCGAAAATCCTCTCTAACCCAAAATGTTAAACATCTGTAAAAAATACTTGTTTTGAGAGTGGTTTACATTCATGACATTTAACCTTTTGCTGTACACACCACAAAATTCAAGTCTCAATTACCATGCAAGCAGGAAACCTGATCATTTCTGCAGTAGCCATCTGCATAGTCCAATATCAAGTATTAGTTCTAGGTTGCACTAAGTCATGTGTTACAAGTCTTTTTCTGCAGCCTCTATAATTAGTTGTAATTTGCCTCTGTTAAAACGTGTTTCTTAAAGGACATCTGGCCTTGAAATTTCCACCTTCTCAATGAAAAAATACTTAGTGTCTGGATTTTTTTTTTTTCTCTTTTAATATGGAACACTGCATGGGTGGTATAACCAAGTCCAGACTTTGAAAAAAAAATAAATTCCAAGAAAAGATAATAATTAAGAACCATTTAAGTATTACCAACTATAAATGTAAAGTAAAACTTTGTTGTAACTATCCACAGATTTCTAAATTAATCTCTCAAATATTAGAAGATCACAAAGTAACTTTTCATTTTCATGAGAATATAACATTGGTCTATTAACTTCTAGAAACTATATTAAGTTAAATTGGATAATACATGTTTGGAATCAAAGATTTCATACATGGAAAAAACATCTGAGTCCAGTGGGTTGATATGACACTCAAAGCATCCACTTAAAATAGGAAATAATTTTAACAGTTCATATATAACCCTAACTTCACAAAGATTAAAGTTACATTTAGAATATGTTAAACCTACATACAGATTCACATGAAGTCATTTTAATAATACTTATCAATTTACTTGATTATAGCCAATCTTCCTTAAAACTAAAAGTTAAATGTTAAGTAGCTGATTAAAAAAAAAAAAAACTAATAAAAATGAATGACAGACACACCACTCTTCTGCAAGGTGAAAGTGGAAACATTCTCCACAATAAGCTATGGTCCTGACCTATTTTGCTTTCCTAGATTGGAAAATTTTTGGTAGAAATTCTTTAAAACCAATATTACACATCTGCAAAAAAACACTAGCAAGAAATGTAAGATGGGTCAGAGAAGGAAGAAATAAATCTGAAAAAAGAAAAAATCAGTTTCTTATACCAAAACTTCAAAAACAATTATAAAATTTGGTGCAAATATATTTTCATCTTCCCAAAAAATAACCTGAGAAATTCCCTTCAGATATAGAAAAATTATGTAAAGAAAAAATTCATACAGGTCCTTTGCAAAAATCTAAAAATGTTAATGTAAAAATTGGACACAATTAGGCTGCACTCTCATTGTAGATGTAATAAGCAATAAGCAATCTGCATGGTCCCTAGTAGAGCTATGACAAAGTAAGTAAAATCTGTATGAAAACAACCTTTACATATTTTATTCAAATTTAAAAACACCCATTGCAAATAATCATGTAACTTAAAAGGGCATATACAAATTAAAGGCCAGGCACGGCGGCTCATGCCTGAAATTCCAGCACTTTCAGAGGCTAAGGCGGGCAGATCACGATGTCAAGAGATCGAGACCATCCTGGCCAACATGGTGAAACCCCTTCTCTAGTAAAAATACAAAAATTAGCTGGGCGTGGTGGTACACACCTGTAGTCCCAGCTACTCAGGAGGCTAAGGCAGGAAAATCGCTTGAACCCGGGAGGCGGAGGTTGCAGTGAGCCGAGATCGCACCACTGCACTCCAGCCTGGAAACAGAGTGAGACTCTCTCAAAAAAAAAAAAAAAAAAAAATTAAGTATATAAGCTATGTTTATGTAACAGTTGATATATTCAAAAAGGTAAAGAAATGTCAAATACTACTAAAATTAGTTAACATAAACAACTTAGTTCAATAATGTCTTACCTGTATTCCATCCTTAAGTTTCAAAATGCATTCCATAGTATTGATGGTAATTACCACTGGTTCTGAACCCAGTTTTGTCCATGGTACATGAATCCTTAATTCATGAATATGTCCACTCAAAAAAGTGAATGGTAATTTCAGTTCCTTAAAACACAAAACATTGCATAAGTTAGTAAGTGTTTAATATTTTTTATTATAATATGCAAATTCCTTTTTTAAAAAATAAAATTTCCAACACAAGAATATTTGGGGACTTACTGTTTAGTGCTTAATATTTTTCATTCTAATGTACAAATTCCTTTCTTAAAAGAGAAATAAAATGTCCAACACAAAAATATTTTGAGAATTACTGTTTATCAAAAAGTAGCATCAAATACCTTGTTAGGCCATACTTAATGATAAATAATAATTTATAGTACAAGTTACATTTAATAAGTTACTTAAGTACTCTAGGCCTGTCTCCTACTTTGCTGAATGGAAATAATATATAATACTTGGTACATGATGTAAGCTCATAGATGGTAGTACAACAGTATATAGCAGCAGTACTTGAGATACCTGAAATGATGTAATTTTTTAAGTCTCCATCTAAAAATATGTCTTCAAAATATGTTTTAAACTAATAGAACAGTATTCTAAGTCAAGTTGAAAGGGGAGCTCAACTGGAGATTTGAGAATAACTTGACAAAATGAAAACTGATCAACCTAAAAAAAAAAAATGTATTCCACTTCACCTAATGTAAAATTGAACTGGATACTACTTGGTCCTAAATTTTAAATATTTTCTGACTGCTTTCCATTATCATTAGATAAAAGATTAGACATGAAAAATTTCACCAAAATTGCTTTATGCTCATTTGTCTCACTTCTAGATACAATTTGTTTACAAATCAACAAAGGACAAAGAAAAAAATGTATTCCCATCACATTTTTTACAGTTATTGTAACTCTATTTGTGAAAGTTAATAAAAATATTAAGCTTATTCATTCACATTTTAGCCTACCTAGTTGGTTCAGCAACACAGTAGCAATATACCTAAATACAGACAGTATAGCAAAGTGATTAAGACCAATAACTCTGCAGCCAGCAAAGACTTTATTGTATCTGTGCCTCAGTTTCATTATCTTTAAAATTTGTATAAAAATACTATATTTTGAATATTAGATCAATTAATCTATATAAAGCTTAGAATACTACCTTCCTCACAGAGAAATCATTATAAAGGTGCTAAATATTATTATTATAATTACAAAAGTATGGGCCTAATTTGTTTCTTCAACCAGAGGTTTTTTTTTTTAAAGGGCAGCTATTAAGTTTATTGTTAGTACTCTATGCTAATAGAATGTCACAATTTTTAGATCTTTGTCATTATCACAGTATTTTTAAAATGCATTAATTTCTTCAAGCATTGTTCAGCTAGCACAAGATTACATATTGATCAGTGCCTGTAACAAAAGCAATATTTACTAAGCACTGAGTATGTACCAGGCACTATTCTAAGCACCTTACTTGTAAACAATTATTTACTCCTCCTAAGAACCACAAAATGTAAATACCATTATCCCCATTTTACAGTGAAGAATCTGAGACATGAAGGGTCAAGAATCTTCCCAAAATGAAACATCTAGGAGAGCCTGGACTCAAAATTAAGAAATATTATGCCAGAGCCATGGCTCTTAACCACTATAATACTGCCTCTACACTTCCATTATCAGCACTGAAAATGTTTCCACTGGCTATTTATCTACCTAACTGGACAATGAGCAGATTACAATTCCACCTCTCCCACCCTGTGCCTTGTGTAACAATGATATATTTGAAAAATGGCTATCAAAGTTGCAGTCTAAGGGCATAAATCAGATTGTCTCAGAGTTCTCAGAGTACAGATGTTTAAAGACACCTGAATCAAACTCAAGAACTTAGTGTCATCAGAATGCTACTAACCAAACATTAACACAAGAGGTAACTTTCTGGATTAGAACATGGAATTTTGAGACATATGATCTGACTATAAGCAAGATAGTTTCAATTTCAAAATCACAGAGGAAAGAAAAATAAATAAATAACATATATTTATATATACTGTAAAAGGTGAAACACAAATGATGATTGTTATAACAAATGGATCTTCCTTGAGGTAACCAAAAAAGGTATTTTCTTTTCATTCTTTTTTCTTCTTGAAATATATAAATCTACAACTTTAAAATATTTTATTTATGTATAACTTTTAGGTAATACATCATGTAAAATGCATCCCTAAAATCAGAACATCTATGATAATGCAATGGATATTAGTAGCAAAGAATTTCAGAAGAGAGTTGAATATATCTCAAAAATCTAATTATAGGTAAGGTATTATAAAATAACAGAGAAAAGGGATACTTTTAAAATGAACATAACAGGCAACAAAAGCAAATATAGAAAAATGAGACATCAAATTTTAAAACTTCTGCACAACAAAGGAAAAAGAATAAAAAAGATAACTTACGAAATGGACAAAAATATTTGCAAACCATCTATCTGATAAGGTACTAATATCTAGAATATATAAACAAGTTCCATGACTAATCAACAACAAAATAACAGTAATTCTATTTAAAAATGGACAAAGGAATTGAAGACATGTCCACAAAAAAGATATACAAATGGCCAACAAGTATATGAAAAGAAGCTCAACGTAACTACTCATTAGGGAAATGCAAATCAAAAACCACAATGAACTATCTCTCAGTCATAACAATGGCCATTATCAAAAACATAATAAGTGTTGAGAAAATGGAATACTTATACACTCTTAGTGGAAACATAAAATGGTACAACTGCTACAGAACATAATATGGAGGTTCCTCAACAAATCAAAAGCAGAATTACAATGATCCAGAAACCCCAGTTCTAGGTATATACCCAAAATAATTTAAAAGAAAATCTTAAGGAGATATTCACACACCCATGTTCAAAGCAGCATTAATCATAATAATTGTAAAGTAAAAGCAACTTTGATATCCATTTTTGAATGAATGGATAAGCAAAATGTAATACACACATACAATGGAATATTATTCAGCCTTAAAAAATAAGCAAATCCCATAATATACCATAACATGGACGAAACATGAGGACATTATGGTAAGTAAAATAAGCCAGTTATGAAAAGATAAATACTGTATGATTCCACATATATAAGGTATCTAACATTGTCAAACTCTTAGAAAGTAGACTGGTGGTTGTCAAGGGCGGGGGCAGGGGAAAGGTAAAAAGGGAGTCATTGGTTCAATAGACAGAGTTTCAGATTTACAAGACAAAAATGTTCTGAAGATCTGCTGCACAAGGATGTGCATATAGTTAACAGTAATATAGTATATACTTAAAAGTGCTTAAGATGGTCATTTCTCTTTAAGAAACAAGGTCTAATTCTGTCACCCAGACTGGAGTGCAGTGGCACAATCAGCTCACTGAAACCTACAACTCCTGGGCTCTCCCACCTCAGCATGCCAAGTAGCTAGGATTATATGCCCATGGCACCACACCCAACCAATTTTTTAAATTTTTGGCACAGATGAGTCTCACTATGTTGCCCAGTCTGGTCTTCAACTCCTGGGCTTCAAGCTATCCTCCCATCTCAGCCCTCAAAGTGCTGGGATTATAGGCACGAGCCACCATGCCCAGCCTCAATGACAAATTTTATGTCACATATTTGTTACTACCAGAACACACTCACACAGACATACACATAAGTGACAAGACTTCAAGAATGCTGAATGAGGAGCTCAGCAAATCCTCTCCCCAAAAAGCAATGACAAAAAGGACAAAGTTGTCAAGAATAACAGACAGCTCAGCAGTAATAAGAATAAGGCTAGCATAAGGTCACAATACAATTTGGGTCAGGCAACAAAACAGCAGATCAGTCCAAAAATTAACAGAGAAATCTGGAAAATGATATAGCCCAACGGGATCTTGCCAAGGTCTCACATACATATTACTGGTAGTCTAGAAAGTTGTACGCATATGCAAGAATGCACTTATTCAGAAGACTGTATATCTGTTTTTCCACCAGATATACAGATACAATCCCCCAAGCAACCACAAAGAGAGGGCAGTAACCAGCAAACTACTCATTTCTAGTTAACCATGAGGCCTCATGAACATAGAGAATTTAAAAAAAAAAAAAAAATCAGACTTACAATCTCCTGACTTTGAAAGTATTACCCAGTAAATGTATATATCCCATGTCAAAGAGTAAATACCTTACTAGCTCAAAGGTTTAAACAATCTCCAATCACCGGCTGATGACTAAGTTATAGTAACCCAGTGAAATTCCTAGAATGCCAGGCTTAAAAATAGAAAAGAGAATTTTTTTTTTTAATGAGCAGAGAAATCAGAGGGCACACGAAACAGACATCACAAAATTAGTAGAGGCAAGTCAATAAACAAACCTGCAACAACAACCATCTCCTGTAGGAGAAGAAATCAAAATCCAAAGTTGCTGCAATATATTAAACAAAATGTCCAATTTACAACAAACAACTACGACACATGCAAAGCATACAGAAATAAAAACAGTTAACAGAAACTATCTTTGAAGGAGATCAGATGCAGGGCTTGGTACACAAAGACTTCAAAACATCAATTCCGAATATGTTCAAAGAAATAAGGGAAACCATATACAAATTTTTTTTTTTTTTTTTTTTGAGATGGAGTCTCACCCTGTCACCCAGACTGGAGTGCAATGGTGTGATCTCGGCTCACTGCCATCTCTGCCTCCCAGGTTCAAATGATTCTCCTGCCTCAGCCTCCCGAATAGCTGGGATTACAGGCACCCACCACCACGCCCAGCTAATTTTTGTATTTTTAGTAGAGATGGGGTTTCACCATGTTGGCCAGGCTGGTCTCGAACTCCTGACCTCAAGTGATCCACCCACCTCGGCCTCCCAAAGTGCTGGGATTACAGGCATAAGCCACTGCACCCGGCCTCAATTAGAAAATGTCAATAAAAAGAAATTACCAAAAAAATGAAAATTTTGGAGTTGAAAGTACAATCAACAAAATAAAAAATTCACTAGAAGGGCTCAGCAGCAGATTTGAATTGGCAAAAGAATCAGTGAATTCAAATCCAAATATATCATAGTCAAACTGCAGAAAGCCAGGGACAAAAAAAAAAGCTGAGAGCAGAAAGACAAAAACAATTTTTCACGTACAAGGAAACTTTTAGTAGATTAACACCTAATTCCTCCCAGAATTCTATATCCAGCAAAATTATCCTTCAACAATGCAAGCAAATTAAAAGATAATCAAATAAAGAATAAGATAATTGATTCCTAGCAGAATATTAATGGAAGTTCATTAGACTGAAAGGAAGTAGCAACAGATGATAAAACAAATTCACACAACAAAAAAATACAGGTAATTATGTTGGTGACTGGTAAAGGACATTATAAATGCTTTTTTCTCCCGTGTTGTTCTGATTTAAAAGGAAATTGCGTAAAACAATAATGATAAAATTGTATTGTTTGACTTTTAACAAGTGAAGATGCAATATATATATGACAATAACAGCACAAGCAGCAGAAGAAAATGGAGCTATAGTAGGGAAATGTTCTCTATTTTAATAGAATAAAGTTATCAATAATCTCAAGTAGTTTGCAGTAAATCAGATGCATATTATAATCCCCCAAGCAACCACAAAGAAAATAATTCAGGCCAGGCACAGTGGCTCACATCTGTAATCCCAGCACTTTGGGAGGCTGAGGCGGGTGGATCACGAGGTCAGGAGATCGAGACCATCCTGGCTAACACGGTAAAACACCGTCTCTACTAAAAATACAAAAAAAAAAAAAAATTAGCTGGACGTGGTGGCGGGTGCCTGTAGTCCCAGCTACTTGGGAGGCTGAGGCAGGAGAATGGCATGAACCCGGGAGGCGGAGCTTGCAGTGAGTCGAGATCACGCCACTGCACTCCAGCCTGGGCAACAGATCAAGACTCTATCTCAAAAAAAAAAAAAAAGAAAGAAAATAATTCAAAAGTAATTTGAAAGTCAATAAAGGAGTTAAAATAGAACATCGAAAAACATCAATTTATTACAAAAGAAATTAATAAGAGTATCAGAGGAACAAAACAGACATGAGGCACATAGAAAATAATAGCAAAATGATAAATGTAAATCCAATCATATGAATAAAAATTAGAGGTGAACAGATTAAAAACTTCAATCAAAATGGAACCCAATGCTCATCTCCTCCACAAAGAAAAACCAAAACAACAAATAGAGCACTTTGAGTTGAATGTCTATGGGAGAACAATGGAACTCATCAGGAAGTAATGAAGATCTTCTGAGGCACAGAAAACTCCACATGTCAGCATAAAGAGGAAAGGAGAGCACCTGGCCAAAATCAGCCTGGAGCCAGAAGGGGCTCTCCATTGACGAGAAAAGTTAAGCAAGACATCCTCAGCAGTCCCCATGACCACTGTGGATACTTGCAATCCAAGCTACAGGGCAGCTCCACAGTCCTCACAAGCCCTGCGTCCAGTATAGGGAGCTGCCTGAGGTCCATAAGGCTGGATTGCTCCAGAAAGAGAATTCACATTTGATCCACTGAATTCCCCAGGATCCAAGCTGCTGCAGTACTACATCATTTGGAGAATGAAGCAACTACTAGAGTGCATTCTGCCTTGGGGCTCAATAGCCCTGGCAGCTCTACATCCCTTGGACCCTGTAATCAGAAAATGGCAGCTGAGAAATAGCAGCCATTTCTCAGGGACTAAGGACCAGCCTGTCTAGCATTCCTCACCCCAAGCAAAGCCACACCACTGCCTCCACAAACACCCACAGTCTAGCCCACTGAGGCACTCACAGAAAATGCTGATATTGATGACGGCTGAAGAAATCACATAGAAATTACATTACTGCACCCAATGAGGAAAAAAGCCTGGGCACCCTACTCAATCAATACCGAAGTCAAATCTACAGGAAAAAGTTTTTTCCTATGAAAACTACTTCATAAAATTGGCAGAGGTGGTTGTTCTTCCAGATAAACAGATACCAAGCTAGGGACACAAGAAACATGAAAAGGCATGGAAACATGACACCTCAAAGGAACACAGTAATTCTCTAATAACATACCCCAAGGAAAACAAACCAATAAAATACCTGAAAAGGAATTCACAGT